CTCATAGAATCATACAATAGAATGGTTAGGGCTGGAAAGGACCTTAAAAATAATCTCGTTCCAACCCCCCTGCCATGGGCAGGGACACCTCCCACTAGCCCAGGTTGCTCAAAGCCTCATCCAGCCTGGCCTTGAACACCTCCAGGGATGGGGCATCCACAACTTCCCTGGGCAACCTGTTCCAGTGCCTCACCACCCTCACAGTAAAGAATTTCTTCCTAATATCTAGTCTAAATCTGCCCTCCTCCGGTTTAAATCCGTTACCCCTCATCCTGTCACTACATGCCCTTTTAAAGAGTACCTCCCCATCTCTCCTGTAGGCCCCCTTCAGGTACTGGCAGGCTGCTATAAGGTCACCCCTGAGCCTTCTCTTCTCCAGGGTGAACAACCCCAACTCTCAGCCTGTCCTCATAGGGGAGGTATTCCAGCCCGCTGATCATCTTTGTGGCCCTTCTCCGTCCCTTTGTTCATATTTTAAACATTCCTCGTAAACTTCACAAGTAATCAGGATGACTGAAAAAGCATCATTTCCTGCAGCAGACCATCACACTGGGCCGTGAATAAGCTGTTTAAGGAGAGGTGTTCTTGTTATCACTGTTCAGTCATCCATGATCAAACTGAATGAGAGTCAGTGTGGTCCCTTTTGGATATCTTGTGCCCAGAAGATGGAGTTAATTTGCAGAAAATCATATACTTAATGACAAATGCTTGTAAAGACTCTCTAGCTCTACTCTTGTAATAGGCAACGGATAATGTACCTAAGTTTTACAATAAGATTTAAACCATTCTGTATTATATCTCTCATTAGCTCACCTCAAAGTTTTATGGATGGTTGTGTTTATATCTGGAAAACCAGTGTTGTCTTTTCAGAGTTTGATAGTGTTGAGAAGGGATGGAAAGCTTAAAAAAAAAAAAATCAAAAAAAGTTTACAGTCAGAATGAGGTTTGGTGATGTGAGAACTCTTAGGAATTTGGAGGAACTCCATGTTTTCCTTACATTATGAGTTCTCAGGGTGGCCTTTGAGGGCCCTACAGCAATGCAGTGGCAGGAGGAGGTGGCAGAGGGGAAGGGGACAGCTGCTGTAGCCCCCTCTCTCGTCAGGAGAGGCAGAAGGAGAGAGAAGCAACCACGGCTGTACCTGAGCATCCCCTTTTCAGCTTCCTAAGGCTGTCCTGTAAACACCTATCTGCGATTCCTAACACAAAGGTTAGCCAGTCCCTGGCTTTCACTGCTGTCGTGCTGTAAAAACAGTGTTCTGTTAGGAGTGACGGCTTCTTGGTAAAAGTGACAAAACACCCCTCTCTCTCCTTGAGGAGACAAGAAACCAAGGCTGATTCCTTGGCTCAGACTTTTGGCTAGAACTGGCGATGAAGTATCTCTAAAACATTGCTTTTGTCATATTCCAATTATCTTTGAAGTGCAGGTTACTTTTACATAGTCTTTGGACAAAAGTTTAAAAAGTGATTTTCAAGCATTTTTCTTAATAAAGCCTGTGCTGTATTGAATGGTTTTGACATACTGGAAGCCACCATATGGAGTGGATCTGTTTAATTGGTTGGATCCACATGGTTGACCGTGATTTTTCCTGCACAGAATCACAGAAAGGCTGAGGTTGGTAGGCACCTCTGGAGATCATCTAGTCCAAACCCTTGCTCAAGGAAGGTCAAGTACAGCAGGTTACTCAGGGCTGTGTCTAGTCTGATTTTGAGTATCTAAACGTAGACTCCACTGCCTCTCTAAGCAACCTGTTCAAGTGTTCAGCCACTCACAACAAAAAGCTGTTTTCTCTTGCTCAGACAGAATTTAACCCATCACTTCCTGGTCTGTTACTGGATACAACAGAGAAGAGTAATGTGTATGGACATATGTTGTTACCCACAATGAGAATTTCATCGGTGTGTTGTTGAGAATTATTTTAAGTCAGGTGTTCTCTGGTATGGACATCCTAGATATATATTTTATTATAATTTAAGGAAACATAATAAACCTGGCAGTCTGGAACATATTGGGAGGAATTGGCCATGAGCTCATTTGATCCTTCTTCTTGATGAAACTTAGGAACAAAAGTGTACATCACTTTTCACATAGCTATAGCTGAACAACAACTGTGCAACAGACGACAGATTTTCTACGTCAAATGCAATTAAGATAATAAGATAAAGCTAAGGAATTTGCTATGACCAAATAGTATAACATATCTGCCTCTTAAAAACACAGAAAACATATAATTTGATAAAATCATATATCACAGTGTTCAAGTATCAGTTTAATATGTAAATTCCTTAATATGGACTTTTTAAGGTGACAAATTTAATGACTCACCGTGTATAGTGGTAAATAGATAAAAAAATTATATTCAGATGCCTAAGATATGCAACCTCAGTTTGTAGGCTGGAATCCTAGTAATTGGCCAGTTTGTCAGTTATTTTCATCTCTGGAAAGTGTTGAAATTATTCCCCCTGAACCAGGTGTAATATTTCTTGCTGATATTGTGAGTATTCTGAAGCTTAACATTTGCAATATGCTTTGAGCATTTAGAAACAAAAGCTGTCTATGAAAACAATATTCCAAAATTTTGTTGATTTAATCTGAGATAAAAGTTCCTTTTATTTGCATGAATATTTGGATACTTTACTTTTGAACACGATATGGGAATGCCAAGGCATACACCCAAAAGAGGCATTTGCTGTATCCACAGGAAGGAGACGGGGGGTTATGGGCAGGTGGACTGCAGCGGGTATTCTGGTGTTTGTAGGTGTTAGTAAAAGAATCAGTCTTGGCCAGTGCTCAACTGCACAAGCAGCTACACACACATAAACTCCTAAAGCTGGATGAGCACGAGCAGCCAGGGAAGGCTGTGTTAGTGCTCCATGAGGCTTCTCAGAAATGTCAGCTCTAGTTTTGTGTCTCAAGCACCAAACTATTTACTGACTGAACTGATGTACATTTCCTCTACAGCTGGGAGCTGAAAGTTTTACATTGTGTAGTTATGGGGGGTATTTTTGTTTGGTGGTTTTGGTTTTTTTTTTGGATGAAAGCATATTCTCAGAACAGTTTTCCTTTATGATACTCGTGAATATACTCACATGATTTTTTTTTGTGAGGCAGTCCCATCCTAGAAACAGATTTTTCCTCAGTGTAGAGCGATAAACCACCTCTGTATCCTTATTGCAGCCAGTTTTACCAATGATATACGTAAACTTTTAAGATTATTATTTTAATTTACATGACATAGAAGTGCATTGTACATCTGTTTTAAAGTCTGTGGTATATTAAATTGAACCAAACATTGAATTTCCTGTCCACAACTGCAAAATAAAGCAATTACATAATGTTTTTATCTTCTACTAGTAGGAAATACTAAATTCACACAGTATAAAATACTGTTATCTGTGGTAAAATGCCTGTTGTTTTGCAGATGAAAAGTTTCGCTTCAACATAACTGTAGCTTTTTAATATGCTATTTTGTAAATTTCTATATCTGTTCCTTAAAAATTATAGGGCACCTGAAATTCAGTGTAGAATGGCAGTGGTGTTGAATGTAACATCTCTTAAAGAAGTAATTCAGTCAGGAAAACGGCACTCAAACTCTATATCTGGAATCAAATTACCCAGAATAAATGATAACCTCTTTGCTGTTGTAATACTTGGAAACATTTTTAATAAATGGGAAGACTCCTCTTTAACCTTCTCTTTTGTGACAAATAAGATTAAATAAGGAAGAAAAAAGTGAAAGGCCTTTGATTTAAATGCTAAGATAAACATTAGCTACCATCATTGATTGCCTCCAGTAGGACTGCTTAACAAAGTTAAGGCTGTGTGTTTATAAATATTTACACATAGATATTACAGATCATATGTATAATTATCAGGGAGTCAGAAATTGCTATGGTGGAAGTGTGGAAGATTGATTAATCAGGCCCATTTTAAAAACAAAACTACTGCACAGATATTCATTAACAACATGCATTGCTAATAGTTAGTTCTTAATAATTATTAATCACTATTACTGCATTTTCAAGTCCTTAAGAGTCATCCTAAATTACCAACTAATATACAATACTACAGAGACACAGAAGCCATGTAATTAGCACCGATGGTTACAGTCCTTGAGAGTCTTAGTCATCAGGGTGATCAGGTTCAAGAGCTCTTCAATGAGGGCAGATAACGCTGAAAAGGGTATTCTTCCTTCCCCATCCTCCATGCCCAAATTCAAGATTTTCACCTTTTATAAAATATTGCAGTCGTTAGAGTGTTCTTAGCCCTTGACCTCTGACTCCTAGGGCTTTGGGAGACTTGCAGATACTATTTTCCCAGGCTGTGCAGGTGCCTTGTCTTGCCCATCACTTGTGGCCTTTTCTTATCTGCTGCCTCTATCATGTGTTCTACTTAAAGCAGTCTTTTCCCAGCTCTTAAGGTTGCACCTCTTCAAAGATCAGTAACTGACCATCAGTGAGGTACTTACGGTTCTGGAAGCCTTGTTTTCAGCCTGTGCCCATATTTTCAAGACCTTTGCTGTCATCGCAGGCTAAAACTCCATGTCATAGCAAGAGACATCTGGCATCAAGCTCCAGCTGACCTGGAAGTTCTCATAACAAGTTGACAACAAGCCTAATAGGCCAGGATTGACTGTCCTTACATAGGCACAGTGAGGATAAGGCTTGAGGTTTCTTTCTGGCAATAGCAAAACTATTTTTGCTAAGCATGAAAATGTTTACAGGTTGTTTAGCAGACTTGTCTGATTAGTGCAATTTTGACAGAGTTCAAAGCGAGCTGATATTCATTACGTTTGGCTTAGCATGCTCCTACTTTTATGAGTGCAATAGGCCTCTGTTTTGGCCACACAGTACAGTGCTTTGGATAATGAAAACTAGGAGTGAGAAACTGGTATGTATTTACTTAGTATTTCTTGTTTTCATAGGACTTACAAAAGAAAGGACAAAACCCAGAAGTATCAAGACTGACTACTGATATTAAAATAATTACAGTGACAAAAATAGCAGTATAGAAATAATTACAGTGACAATTCAGAGATAAGTACTGCCTTTAATTTACATGTTGCTTGTCCCACTTTGAACATTAACCAGAGAATAGTAGATGCCTTTTTCAGCCAGGAGCTCCTGATGGGTTCCTTGCTCCATGACCTTGCCGTTCTGGATCACAGCAATCTTGTCAGCATTTTGGATGGTAGAGAGGCGATGTGCTATCATGATGCAGGTGTGACCTTCTCTGGCTTTATCCAGTGCTTCCTGGACAATCTGTGCAATGAGTAAGTCAAAGGGTGAACTATTTTGGCAGCTGTCATGAGATATACCTCAATTGCCATCTGTGAAGTAAACTGTAATATGACAGTGAGGGAAAGGGAATATCTCTGGCTTTAGCTTCCTGTTTTAGAATTAGCTTGTGTTAGCAAGGAGTCAAAACTATCATAGTGGATGATGCCACGATAGCTAAGAGAATGAGATGGAACCAGGCTCATTACTGAGATGCATGGTAGGAGAACAAGAGAAAATGATCATAAATTGTAATAGGGGAGGTTCTGACTGGATATAAGAAAAAAATTCACTACAAGGATAATTAAGCATTGGAACAGGAACAAAAGAGAGCTTGGTGAATCTCCCTGGAGATTTTCAGGGACCCTACTAGACACAGCACTAAGGAACCTAATTTGAACTCAGTATTTGCCCTTGTTTGAAAAGGAGGTTTGATTAGAGAACTCCAGAGGTCCCTTCCATGCCTGATTAATTATATATGCGACTTAAGACAGTAATCTAGGGTCAACTACTATCATACTAGTTCTCATTATTTTGCAGGGAGTTTCATGAATCTTGTTTTTCTTAAAGCTGCCACTGACAAAATAATACTAATAAGAATCTCTGCTTTCTTTTCTTTATTTCTTATGTTTATTAATGCAGAACAAAATAAGAGATGAAATTTCTGTACCTAACTGGCACTTAATTAAGAGAACAAAGAATCCTGGAATTATTTAATGATATCTTCACCTCAAACCTTATATTTTTATGCCTAGAATTGATCAAAACTTAGTCCATAGTGTTTGAGCTTTTCAGATTGTAATGTTTGTTATAATATTTGCCTCATTAATAGTAGGTGCTTTTGTAGAATCTGTGTTGATTTTCTACAGCTAGATTGTACTTCTGTTATACCAAGATGGCATCTTTGGGCTTAAAAAAGAAATGAGTGTTCTAGCAATATTTTCACTGGAAGTTTGCGTATTAGCTGTGAACATATAGCAAGGACTGCAGAGCAATTGGAGAAGCAAAAACAATTATGAAAGCAAGTTCTATGGCAGCATCCTCAATCTTTTTGGCATCGGAAGTTTGTACTTCCTAATTCAATGTTGATAGCACTTTTCCAGTTGAAGCCTGAAGAATTACAGACAAAGAAATGCCTTCTTCGTTGCTAATTCAATCTACCTACTGCTGTAAAGATGCAATAAAAATATGGGGTTTTGGGAAGGAGGAGCAGGACATTTATATTTGTCTATTATTAGCATAAATATATGTAATTTGAATAGAGCAGTATATTTCCAGCTTTGGGCTTTAATCTGTGGGAGTGAAAACAATAATCACAATGCAAACAAACATGGATTTAGATTCCAGACTCCTGGCTCAGAATTAAGTTACCTTTTCACTTTCCGTATCTAAAGCAGACGTAGCTTCATCCAGTAGCAGAATTTGGGGCTGACGTACAAGAGCTCGGGCAATAGCAATACGTTGTTTCTGACCACCAGAAAGCTGAGTTCCCTTGTCTCCTACACGGGTATTGTATTTCTAGAAACAACATATTCAGTTCAGATTATGAATGCAAATCAATTCCGAAGTGTGTTTAGGCATATCGACCCTGACACCAGCCATCTATAAGCTGCATATTCCATGCCAATAGCTCTCTGAAAACAGATGACCAGAGTTGCTATCTGCCACAGATCTAGGGATCTTTCACTAGGAGACTTCTTTGTAGCATCAAGCATTTCTTAAATTCAAAGCAACAACTTCTCTAACATTGGAAGGCAACATTATTCTCAACCAGGAGACAGAACACCAAAGCTCAGTGAAAGTCTATGACAATACTGGGGATCAAACGCTGATCTTAAACACTCCAAGCTAGCATCCTAACCAATCAGTTATTCTAACCCAAATTTATTCATCCTGAAGAAAAAAAAAGCAACATATAAGATGTAGCAGTTTCAGGCCAAATTATATATCTATAAGCAGACATAGACATATATACACTTTACCTATATCTGTAACACAGCGATGGACAGTTATGTTTTTAACTTATTAAGGTGGACCAGTTAGGTCTCTGGAGAAACTCGTGTGTAGGTCACAGTAGTCTTTGAGGTATTATATATTTGGTTGCAAAAAGCACCAAAGTTTTATGAGGCATCATTATATATCACAAGATTTCTCTACAAAGTTTTGGAAAGAGCAGATCTTGGTAAGTCATTATAAACATGATCTGCAAAAATCGTCAACTTTGACCTTTGTATTTTTTCAAGAAATGCAAAAAGCAGCTTAACAGCCTGAAATTAACCTGAATATATACAATGTGCAACTAAGCTGGCAACCTCCTAGCTTCAGGAAGTTATGGATTCGAGTTGATGTAGGTTAGAAATTGATTTGTCAAAGTCACAGAAGAAAAATCCATCCAGAACTATTGAATAATAAAACCTGATTTCTATCTTAGGAAATTCCCAAGTCACAAATTATGCAAAATTAGATGACAATTCAGGGGAAATGTGATTAAATGTTTAGCCTTTTTGAATACTGATTTTTATATATGTCTTGCTTGTGTCTGCATGGGACAAGATTTTGTGCATGGAAGACCTTTCATCTGACCCGGGATGTTCATTTTTACATTGTTATGTGTTGGTCAGATATATATATGAGAAAGGCTTAGCAATTTTTGAACTGTAAGAATACTTCAAATTTAAATTCTGATTAGGTATAACTGGAAGAAATGCATAAGAAACTTGTCAGTCTAGCAGTCTTTTACATATGCTTGAGATAAATAGGAGCTTAAAAAGAAATGTTTAACTCACTTAAAAAAACCTCACCCCACACTTCAGGCCCTCAATTAGTTACAATGGTGGATTTTCCTCCCTGGTATCTTAAATGTTCAGCTCTCCAGATGACAATGGAGTCTCCCAGAGTAAAAACAAGTAAAGTAAGGTAAACACACTTAAGAAAGGATAAGATTTAAAAATCAGTTTCAGATCTATTTACATCTCAGGGAATTATTGTACCCGGGGAATCATAAATGGACACAATTTTTCCCTGCCACAGTAGGTCACCTCCAGTTTTGAGTAGAAGAGAAAAGGAATAACTTACATCTGGCAGAGAGTCAATGAAGGAGTGAATATTGGCTTCTTTTGCTGCATTAACAATTTCCTCATGTGACACCTGCCGACTGTTATCTCCGTATGCGATGTTTTCAGCAATAGTGCAGTCAAACAGCATTGGTTCTTGTGAGACTATTCCAATCTGAGCTCTCAGCCACTGGATATTCAGTCTCTTTGCATTTTTGCCATCAAAAAGCTGAGAAGCCAAACATTTTAAATATCAGTCAAATGGCTGTAAGTATATTTGAGACTTACTGTAAATTCACACACTGAAATTGTGCAATTGCAGCTCTTTCCTTAGAGACACCATATTGAAAGCTCACCTAAGCCTTTCTGTTTCTTCTCCTCTATGTTCCAAAATTTTCTAAGGACTACTATATAAAAGTGAGGATATTCCCTTCTGCTGCCTCAGTCCTTTTCTTTGCTTCAAGATTCAATCAGATTTTGAAGACACGGGAATATAGAATATGCTGAGGCAACATCGAAGAACTTTGGGTAAAGTTCTTTCATTTCTTTCTTTGGTGGGAAAATTTTCTTCACTTTGCATGTACATTCCCACTGAAGGAACAGATTGGCAGTAGTATTCCATTAAAATAAAAGAAGAGTTGGGTTCATTCATCCACACACTTCTAAACCAAGCATCCGACCTTATAATTTTGATGTAATGACTGCCAATGGACAAATTTACTTCTGGATTCCTTAAGACATCATTTGCAGACAGTTTTCTTTACTGGCAACTCTGTCACACTTCTGCAATATTTGGCTACTGAGTCAATATCATTGTCTATTAGATAAATGACAATAGAATTTTTTTCTGGATAGATCAGTATAATAATTATACAAGTCATACCAACTTGGTCACAAATATACCAAGACATTAAGAGGGCTGTTACAACTCCACTGTAATCACCCTGTGCAATGCTCAGGTTCCATGTTGAGTGACATATCAGCTGGGTAATTGAAGAACTGCTCCCTTCATAGCATGGCTACTGGATGTGATTCGTCTACTAATTCCACAGTTTGTGTTAGAACAGCCAATTCACAGGCAATACAATTGTTTGTCAAAGGAAAGAGATCATAATAAACCTGATTCAAAATCCACTGAAAACAGTGGCAGCATTGCTACATCTGCAGATATAAAGGGGAGGGGAAAAAAAGCTAGAAAGGAGAAACAGTTTTCAACTACATAGGTATTTGCCACCTCTTAGAATTACAATGGATTTGCAGGCTGCTAAGGTCTGCTTCCTGTTCCTTACTTGATGTGAAAAATCACTGATGAAGCTAGAGAACTCAGTTACGCATTTTGGATCCACCATGCCAAAGAGCATGGCAGGGGGGATGGAACTCAATGGTCTTCAAGGTCCTTTCCAACCCTAACCATTCTATGATTCTATGAGCTTTTAGGCATAGTTACTCTCTTTACCAGACCAGCATGGTGCTCACTGTTGTGAACAGCTGTTCTGACAGTGTTTTTAAGCATACACTTCTTTCATTCAGTTCACAGTGCAACTGAGCCTGTGAATTAGTCCAACACTTTTGTGGTTTCTATGTCCAAGGTCTGTGCTTCTCCCTTCAGTAAACTGTTGTTGGTTATTTATCGACAAAAGGTCAAAAATATTGGTGAAGAAGTTGCACTTGCTTAAACATACTTTTGGGGCACCTATGCTGCTTCTTTCTACATGTCAATTTGCTACCCTGGACCTCCATGGACATTTCCAACCTCAAAAAAATCTTGCCCATTGCATCTAGGCCTTATTTAAGTATTGCTTTATCTTTTGTGAGTACCTCTGCAGAGACAAGTTCTGAAATCCTTCATATTCTCACGTCATCCAACCCAAAATACGTGGGTTCTTTTTCAAACAAAACCTCTGAGCACATTTACATCGAAGACAAAATGGCAATAAACAATACCATTATGTGAAAAAAAATTGTAAAGTTGCTGAATAGGTAGCATGGGAAACCCTCGGTGTATTTTAAACCAAAATTACTAAAAGTATTTACAATCTATCACTTGGTAAGTGGGCATACTCTGAAAGATATTCCCGACAAGTAAAAATTATTATAAAAATTATTTTTGTCTATGTTTGCTGTTTTAGGAAAGAACATAGATGGCAAATTCTATTACTACATCATACAGAAGATGCATTGTACAGATACATATATTTACTTATTAAAAATAGTTCTTAAAATAAAAACCTCAGGAACTTTGCTCTGAATTCAAAGTCATCATTAGGCTGTGGATAAGGCATATTTTTCCACACAGATATTCTATCATTAATTCTTATAATGTGAGAAACTGAGACTTTTTCCATTATATTATTTCATCACATTTAAATAAGGAACCATGATAAGCCACTACTTGTCTTTAACATTAAGAGTATTTAAAAAATAAAACTATCTATTATACTTTATCACATAAAACCAAATAAGCACACCTCATTTAATGTAGTGACATATTCTTACAAAAATACTTACCATTTCTCCATCAAGTGGATCATAAAATCTCTCAAGCAGCTGAACAACAGTGCTCTTCCCACAGCCACTGCTACCAACAAGAGCCAGAGTTTGTCCCTTTTCTACTTTTAGATTCAAACCTTGGAGGATTTTGACCTCTGGTCGGTTTGGGTAGTTAAATGTCACAGCTTTGATCGTTATGTTTCCCCCAAATGTTTCCTATAATTGAAATAGTATCACTGTTACATCTTTAAGACAATTTGACAGATAATTCTAATAGAATTGCAGAAGTATTTTTTTCCCCCCACTGAAATCAACAGAGTTTTGCATTTGCTGGAATGCTGACTTGAACTGTGTGGTCTGAATCTTTGTGAAGCTATAAAATCAAAGTACAGCACTGAACTACTTTGAAAATGCTAATAATTTTGCTAGTTGAATTCCACACAAGTTGTACCTTAATGAGATTTTCAAACCAAATAACCTTTAGACAGTGTGGGCAAAAGCTGGACTCACAATAGAGAACTTCATCCATCTTGTGTTTGGATGAAGTGTCGAGAACACATAGAGATTAGGAAGTAACCAGAAGAAGAGGAAAAATCAGTTTGAAGGAAGTGAGAAGAGTACTTTCCATGTTGTCAATAAATAATATCTCCCATTACACATGGCTTACTTACGGGCTTCTCTCCTTCATTGCTATAACTATCTATTGAGGGTACTCTTTCAAACAGCTGAAACAAGTGGGCTGCTGATGTCTTGGCTTTGGCGTAGTCTGGAGCAAAAGAGCTGGTTTGTCCTAATGCCATGGCACCAAACACAACAGCTGAAAACACTCTATAAAAGAAACAATGAAAAAATATAAATAAACGAAGAAAAGGACAATGGAAATAGGGCTGCAGTCAATGTTTTCTTTTACACGGAGAAAGAAGAGGACAAACTTTTAAAATAGTATAGTAGTATTGTAGTTTTGACCTTGGCTAGCAAAACAAACACCACAAAAGCCGCTCGCTCACCCTCCTCCCTCCTGAGGACAGAGGAGAGAATTAAACCAGTAAAGGGAAAAGAGACTCGTGGGTTGAGATAAGATAGGAACAATTTAATAACCAAACTACAATAAAATTGAAAATTATAATAATAATGATAATAGTAATGTACAAATATACAAATGTACAAATGAGTGATACACAGTAAACTTCTCACCACCCAATGACCAAGGCTCAATCCATTCCTGGCTAATGATCCCAGAGCAGGGAGAGTCCCAAAACTGCAATCCCAGAAAGGAGATAAGAACCTGACTGTCCAAGACCTAGAGCTGACTGAGGGAGCGAGACAATCCCAAGAGAGAGAGGTGATCCAGAGTGAGAGGGGATGACCCAGAGCACAGTGACCCAGAGCAGCAGAGAGAAAACTTCGTACAGATCCCCGTCTACATGCTGGGCATGAAGTGCATGATATGGTATAAACTGTTGTCCAATTTGGGTCTCAATCCTAAACTTAAGATCGAATCCTAGGCTAGTAACTGAGGCTGTGCTCCCTCCCAGCTTCTCCTGCACCTGCAGACACTGGCACAGCAGAGAGACTGAAAAATACTTGGGTGTCCTGGCAACAACTATAAACATTGGTATGTTCAGCCTTCTTCTCAGCACAAATCCAAAATACAGCCTCTTACTAGCAACTATGAAGAAAGTTAACTCTGTCCCAGCCAAAACCAGGACAAATAGGAACCAATTATTATTGCCTTAATTACTCAATTACCTCCAGAAATTTGTTTTTGTCCTCTTTTAATGAAGTGAAATAAACCTCCATACCACATTCAATGTGTTTGTTACTTATTAGCACTAATTTATTTAATTATTAATACTGGTTAACTATGTTAAGTCTCAACCGGGGCTAGGAGGAAAGTGATCAATGGATGGTAAGTAAAATCATTACTCTAATCCCGTTCTGCTATTGCTGTGGTTTCCTCTCTATGGTTCAATGACCTCTGGGAGTCAGTGATTCATTTTTAAGGCATCAATGAAAATAAGAAATCAAGCCTGTTACAAGGTGACAATAAAGATTTAATTTGGAATCACAGCTCTGCTGGAAAAATGTGGAGGGTTCACAACATCAAAAAAAGATTGAAAACTATGTTGTTGTTTTATGGTGAATGTAGATGTATCTTTACAGGCTACATTAGAATGGTTTAAGAACTGGCTGTCCTCAGCTATTAATTGTTGCCACATAACATAGGATTACTCATCTCTGAGAAATGGTAATTAGCATGAGACTTCTTAGATTGTTTTAAGACAAAGTGAAATAAATTAATTTATATTCATTTTTATCTTTTCTATTCAGAGCTATATCAACTAGTCTCTTTCATTCTTCATTTGAACAGCCTGGCAGGGCTCACACAGTTTTACATCAGACAATCCCTTTCAAATCTAACTGAGACACTGGAAGTTCACTCTCCCAGCTGGCTAGAGATGGGATGTAGATACTTTCTAACATCTTGCAGTCAAAATGAGCTGTGCTAACTGTCTTTAGTCAGTTTGCCAACAAAAGATTGGTATGATTGGCCTTTCTTAGATATTGAGGTCACTGATATCTGTGCTGGTAGAATCTCATTCTTTTCATAGTTGTTTCCACAGGCCTGTTTTGAGCTTTTGCCTCTTAAGATATAAATTATATTTCTTATGAGTTTATACATGATCTAGAAGAATGAGACTTTGGTTATGATAGGGGCTTTTAGGTATTATGGTAAATGATTGGATAAACAGTGATCATAAACCCAAAATATAAAAGTAGGTTAAGCTATAATTTCAAAATAATTCCTTTAATTTTTGTACAGTTTCTTCCCCATAAAAGCTTAGAAAGTGCCCTTAGAGACAAATAATTGTACAATTCCTTGTATGATTTCAGATTGCAATGGATACGCCCTCTAAGAATACTGCAAATTAGAATCATATTTTATTTTTAGTACCCGTCTAAATTAAAAATAAAATGCTCCACTTGACTATGGGCATGTACTGTACTCTACATACTGTTGTTACATTCATGGTTCATACTTTAATTTCCCACACAAAACTGGTTAATTTAAGTGAACAAGCTTCTTATCAGAATACAAATTAAACAAACTTAGTTATCCTTCCCTTATAGTGAGCAGCATCTACTTTATTATTTAACATGTATTTTATAGAAGATTTCAAATTTCAGTGAACAAACCTGACATAAAAATACCAGAGATGTTGATAATCTACTTTTAAAAAGATTTTTACAATATTATTATGCTTCAGTAAATAGGTACAACTGTGTTTTTTTGTCGAATATACGGAGAACGTCACAGCTACACGAACAACAAGACTGGTGAGAAAAAATCAGGTGATGTAAGTAGGACACTATTTCAATGTCTGGAAATCATAATAGTTCCAAATAAATACAGAAAAGGAAATCCCAGGTCAGGCCTGTATGAACAGCTCAGACTCTGTAGTCACCACTTTTTACCCACTTTGGAACATGCTTTCATTATATTTGAGAAGAATTTGGCTTTTTTTTCATAGCTTACACAGTGGATTAATGATATCTCTAGCAGTAAGCAAAGACCTTTGTCCAGACTGACAGAAAAGAGATTGCAAAAGAGATACTTACAAAAACACACTTTTATATTTCATGTGTCCGTTTACCACTAGATAGGCACCAAATCGGAAACAGGCAGCATAGGTAAAGAACATCATTGCTTGTGAAAGGGCAAAACAAAATCCAAATATATGTGCCTTCTTCACAGAATTTCTGTAAGAAAGAATGCATATTTTCATAAAAATGTGCAATCATGCTTAAGTCCTAGTATACAAAAACCCATTAATTGACTTCAGATGATACTGTTATGAATGGGAAGTGCACTCATGCTTAAACAACACAATCCCTTGTCTCCTGTTAGACTGTGTCCAAGAGAAAGGCAGTTTTGTTTCCAGAATTTTATTTACTTCCAAAAACATCTTGGAATAGGGGTGCAGAAAAAGGTGACACCTTAGCTGCTACATGTAATTATTGTCTTACTGTCTCATACTTTGAGTGTTAAAACACTTAAAAGTTCAGTCCACTTTGAAGATGTAAATATGTTTGAAATTGTACTACTGCATCACATAAGAGGAAAAAAAAGAGCAGAACTGTTAGCTCACCTTCAGCCAAAGCCAAATTTTTGTGTAATTTTTGTTTACTTGCAATTTTATGTTAACCCAATAACAAAGATATTAAACAGTTATATTGTATACTTGAGAATCTGTTTCTTTTCAACTTCATCAGTCAAAATTCCTCTTTCAGATAAGATTAAGCCTCATGTATGATGCAGAAACTAGATTTCGGATTATAAAATTATGTCTATAACTAAAAGCAAGTCAGAGAGTAAATTTTCTGTTACTATGAATTCTACTAGAAAAAAACTCCATGGTTCCTTCTGGAAAATAAACAAAATAAAACAAACAGGAGACAGATTCACAATTGTGCCTTTAAAAAAGTTATAATTAAGAGTCTGTTGTGACTTCTCTTTTACATAGCTCAGTTGTGCATTAATCCAGTATAACAGAAGGCCCAAGCTCAATTTTTATAAAATAGAAATTCTGTGCTTTATCAGTGATTTAAGATACACGAAAACATTAACTGAAAAACACACATCCTATCTCTTCCAGCCAAATTGACCCATAGGGCAGTAAGTTCTTATTTATACTAGAAGAAAGTTAAGATGAAAGTCTTGGGCCAATCCCGTCAATGTCAACCCTGAGAATGGTTAGGCACTCTCCTGCAAGTTGTGAGATATGGACTCAAAACCTAGCAGCCTGAGAAAAAAGCTAAAGTAGTTATCTCTTATACCCTGCACTGTGCTCTAACCACTCAGTTACTTGTTTCCCATCATATCTGTGTATATATGCTCCCATTTCCTTTACTTTTCTCATGGATGTCTGAAAATTAAACATTTAATTCTAGAACAAATAAAACTTTAATTGACAGAATATTTTTAGTTTTTTACTTTAAGACATTTAAATTTTGATTTAGTCCAGGCAGATTTATATTTCTTTTTTTTCAGTCATAAACCAACAAGTAATTATTCAAATGCTTTCAATCCTATTCATACTTTCAAAAATGACTTAATGCAATATTCAGTTTACATTAAAAAGTTTTTAATTAAATATCTGAAACACTGCAGGTGAGAGTTTAGATTAGATGACTTCCAAAGCTCACTTAACACTAGCATTTTTCCAAACCAAGTGATATTGCAATAGAAGATACCAATATTAACACAGAAAATTAATTAAATCCAAAAATAAAAATGTTGGCTGCTGGTTGCATTTGTTAATAAAAATATGCAAAATATCTACATTAATTCTGAGGTAATTAAATTATACATTAATTAAATGATACACACTAAAAAAAAAACAATGTTAGTCCAAGTAAATGTTTGTAATTTATTCTGTAATTCAAATACAGGGGTTTTTTTAGCTTAGTTATTTTATTATACCTGTATGGTACAAGCAAATGTTCTCCATACATCAACTCAAATTTTCTTTCCCGGGTCAAGCTGGCAACAGTTCTAATATTTACTATAGCTTCTGTGGCAATCTGCAATAGAAACGCAAATGTTTTAATCAAATATTATGTTGCAATTCCTTATTCTAAACTAATAACAAGAGTCTGATGGAATATAATTTTATATTTTTAATAATTGTTATTAAAATCATGGACTTTTGATATGAAAAGTAAGCATTTTACATTTTTATTTTTTATGACAGCAAGATTTTCTGATGATGCTCAGAATTTTCTGATGAGACCTCTTTAATGTCCTCCAAATAATTAGTGAAAAACTGTTAGACAGCAGTGACAACTATGGAGAAGATATTTTGTAAGAAAAATGGCAATATAGCATTCAACTTCCAGTCTACTGAGTTTGGGCTGTAATCGGAATGTCCAGGTTACTTACGTGCCTAGAGCCTAACTTAGATCTCAGTAGTAAATATTTTGATCTGATTGATCTGATCAAAATAAATAAATGTTCAGCCATTAGAAAGAAGAAGCAATGTGAAGAAATGTAGCCAGCTGAAAGGAAACGAAATGCATCCTTTGGCTTGTATGAAGATACAAGGGAAAGATCATTATGCAGAATTTCCTGTGGACTTGGAGGGACAAAAATGTTTTTCAGCAGCTTAATCTACAGACACGATGGAAAGAAATAAAACCCATTTAGCAAACAGGAGTTACTGGGCAGGACGGTCAGATCCAAATTAAGACACCTGAATTTAGGTGTCTAAGCTACCAGCGTAGTCAATGGATAGCTATTCAACAGAACGAGAAAGCAGTTCAGCTGCCCAGACACTATGTACCTATCTAGTCTCTTTCTCCAGGATCATTGAACGGAGTGAGAAGGACTCTCACATAATCACAGAACGTTAGAGACTGGAAGGGA